GGGGGGGGCGGGCGGGCAGTGGGCAGGCTGGAGAGAGCAGAGACCTTCTGGTTCCAGCCCCGTCCTGACTTTTGGTGACTTTGGTCTGACCCTGACTGGTGGCCTTCATATCACGAGGGAGAGTCAGAGGGCCCTAGGACCCTAGGCACTGAGCTCCCGCACTGCCCCAGGCGAGGGGTGGGATCTGTGACTCCACATGCTGCCAGCTTGGCGGGCAAGAGAGTGTAAAGCCGCCTCTCATCCAGAGAGCCCCTGGACGCCTGGGAATGGTCTCGGTCTGGGCCTGGCCTCATTGCCCTTGGAGATTCCTGTGCAGCTCCGTCATCCTGGGAATGACCCTCTCTCCAGGAAAGGGTAAAAAAACCACCCTGGCCAGGAGGAGATTCCTGTCTGTCCAGCAGCATCCTGGAACTGCTGACGACCATCTGGGCGTGAGGTCAGCAGGACGTGGAAATTCCCCATTTTCCTCTTTGTCTGTCTTTCCTCCAGAAGCCCAGGCCCTCCCTTGGGTGGCTCCTCTGACCTCCAGAGAGGGTTTCTCACAGGAGGCCCTTTCGCCTTTCTTCATCCACCCTCTGCCTGTTCTTCTCCCTGCTGAGGCTGGAGTTGGGGAGAATGGCGCTGCCTGCCCCCTCTTTGGCTTCTCCTGAACCTCTTCCCTGTCAACCCCCAGTGCCGAGAAAGAGCCCCAGCGCTGTGTGGTTTGCAGGATGTGGAGATGGGTTTTCAGTTCCTCTATCTTGCATCCTGCTGTGCCGCCTGGCCCTACATCTGGGCATCTCTAACGGAGCACGGCCGTGCCAGCCCTGATTCTACAAGTGTATGGTTGCTCAGAGTGCCTCTGGTCAGTGGGTCACGGTCAGGCTCTTGGATGTTTGCACATGGCCTCTCAGGAGGCAGGGGCAGGGGCTCCCCCCACCCTCTCTCTGTCTGCTCTGATTAGAGATGTATTGAGGCTTTCTTCTGGACCACTCTGAAGATACCCTGGTGGACAAGATGGACTCGGCCCAGCTCTCCTGGAGCTTCTAATCTGTTGGGCAAGCCAGATGTGAAGCAGAAAGCATACCCAAATTATCACGTCAAGTCATCTGTCAGTCCCATTCTGGGTGGGTGCAGAGTGGTAGGCAGGAACCAGGACTCCTGCCGCCCCTTATCACCAGAGGTGGCTACAAGTCCCTTCCAGCTCTCAGCCTTCCCCTTGGTGAACTTCATTCAGCTGTCAATCATGGCTCACCTTCCAAGTGCCAGACCTGTGAAAACAGGAAGTTCTCCGTCAAATGCGTGAATGCTTATGGCACTCAGATACATTCCACACTGGTCAGTAGGTTTTGCTAGAGCAGCACATGAAGAGAAAGGGGAGCATCAAGGAAGTCCCCCCTCACTCCCTCACACACCTACCAACACTTCTGAGTACCTTGCTCTGTGCCAGTCATTGCGTTAGTGCTTTACCCACACTGCCTCTTAATTCAGTGAACATTTCAGGGCTTTCTTGTTCTACTGTGTAGTATTGACCTTTCAACTTGAAAACAAGCCCCCTCCCCCCCACCCCCAGCTGAGTGATGACTTTTGT